CCACTGAAGCTGCTGAATGGGTGTCTAAGAGCATGCCAGCTGATAAAAGTGTATTAGTCATCTTTCGGATTATTCTGGGAACATTGTTTTTTGTTTGTTTTGGGAGTTTTGCCATAAAAAATTCTAACAAACTGTTTTGCATAATCCTTTTCAATAAAATGTCTGTTTTGTCTGGTTGTTTTTGGACCCACTGTGGTCAGTGTATGCCGTTATTGTTGTTTAAGGAAGTTTTTCACTCTCTTGGTCCATTAGTTGTTATCCTGATTATGTTCACCTCATCAGGCTGAGTGAACGTGCGGTGCAGCCTCTCATAAAAAAGAAAAACCTTGACCTGACAGTGCTCTTAACAAACCCATTTCTAAACTGCCCTTTTCGCCAAAAATTTTAGATAAAGTTGTTTTTAATTCCATTTAGTTTATTTATATAGTGCCAAGTCACAACAGAAGTTGTCTCAGGGCAGAAACATTCACATACATTTAAAACAGCCAATTAGTAAAAGTTGTCTATCTAAGGAAGCCAGCAGATTGCGTTGAATCTTCACTTTGTCGCAGTCTCCCATCCTGAGCAAGCACAAAGGCAACAGTGGGAAGAAAAAACTCCCTTTTAACAGGAAGAACCCTCCAGAAAAACCAGGTTCAGGATGAGCGGCCATCTGCTTCGACCGGCTGGGTTTGAGAGAACAGGGAGGAGAAACAAACACAGAATGTCAGGTTCAGGTGTACTTTCTGTTGTAGGAAATACAATAAAACACACGTTAATGATAGAAATAACAAATATTAACAGGTGGAGTAGAGCCATTATAGACAGCAAAGTGAGGAAATGGGGTCAGTTTGTCCTCCAGCTTAATCAACTTAAGAAATTTTAATTGCCAACAACATTGGTGAAAAACTCCAGCCAGGTTTTAAATCTGAGACAGCCCTTTTAAGAGTTTTTAATGACTTTCTTTTAACCGTTGATGCAAGAAGCTCTGCTGTTTTAGTGCTTTTAGACCTTTGATACTGTGGACCACAACATCTTGTTGTCACGACTTGAGCAGGTGGTCGGTATCAAAGGCACAGTTTTATCTTGGTTTAGATCCTGCCTGACTGACAGGAGTTGTTCTGTTCATTTAAGGGAATGTTCTTCATCTGCGGCTCCTCTAATCTGTGGGGTCCCTCAAGGGTCTATTTTAGGTCCACTTTTTAATCTTTACTTGTTGCCTTTGGGGTCCTTTTTTTGTTTTTGTTTTTAGGAAATATTACATTCCTTTTCATTGCTTTGCTGATGATATTCAGTTGTATCTGCCGATTAAGTCAGACAGGGTCACTCCACTGGGACCAGTTTACAGTTTGGTTGAAACTAAATTTCCTGAATCTAAATGAAAATAAAATTGAAGTTATCAGCTTTGGCAAATGTAACACCCTTAGCACTCTTGGCCCCTTGGCTTCATACAGCCACTCCATTGTCATGAATCTGGGAGTTATTTTTGATTTTGCTGTTAAATTAGACAAACAGATAAATGCATTTGTGAAATCCAGTTTCTAGCAACTAAGACTGATTGCCAAGGTGAAGGCTTGTCTCCCTTTCAGAGACCTTGAAAATGTGATTCACACTTTTATTACCTCTCGTTTGGATTATTGCAGTGCTTTGTTTGTTTGTTGGTTTAGATAAATCATCTTTGCATCCTTTACAAACCGTCCAGAACGCAGCAGCTCGTCTTTTAACAGCAAATAAAAAACATGAACACATAACCCACTGGCTTCCTGTCTACTTCCTGATTGATTTAAGATTTTATTGTTTGCTTTTAAAGTCTTAAAAGGTCTGGCCCCGTTTTATTTATGTGATCTTCTTAACTATTCTACTTCTAACCTACAAAGCTCTCAACAACCTAGCTCCATCTTAAATTACACATCTTATTGTTCCATATTTTCCTAACAGAGCACTTCGCTCTCAGACTGCAGGTTTACTTGTGGTTCCTAGAATTTATAAAAAACAGAATGGGAGGCAGATCTTTCAGTTCTCAGGCTCCTCTCTTGTGGAACCAACTTCCAGTTTCTGTCCGTGAGGCTGACACATTATCCAGTTTTAAGACTGGTATTAAGATTTTCCTTTTCGCTAAATCCTATAGTTGGGTTCAGCTTGGGTTTCCTGAGCTGTCCCTTAGTTATGCTGCTATAGGCTTAGACTGGTGGAGGACAAACTGACCACACTTTTTCACTCTGCTACTGTCTTTACTCACTTTGCTCAACATTTGTAATTATTTTTTCTATCATTAACATGTGCTTTTTTGTCTCTCAGGTACACCTGGACCTGGACCTATACCTGGACCTATACCTGGACCTACCATTCTGTGTTCGTCTGTCTCTCCTTCCCGTCCTCTCAACCAGCCGGTCAAAGCAGATGGCTGCTTGTCCTGAGCCTGGTTCTTCTGGAGGTTTCTTCTTGTTAAAAGGGAGTTTTTCTTTCCACTGTTGCCACTGTGCTTGCTCAGGATGGGAGACTGCGACGAAGCCAAGATTCATCTTGTCTGCTGGATTCCTTAGATAGACAACTTTACTAATTGGCCTTTTTTATATATGTGAATGTTCTTGTAAAGTGCTCTGAGACAACTTTGTTGTGATTTGGAGCTATATAAATAAACTGAATTGAATTGAATTAACATCTACACTCCAGTCCACCAACCAGTTCCTCTTAGATGTCCCCAGATCTAAACTGAAGTCCAGAGGTGATCAGACTTTTGTGGTTGCTGCTCCAAATTTGTGGAACAGTTCACCTGATCATTTAAAGACCACTCAGACTGTTGAGACTTTTAAATCTCATCTTTTTTCCTTGGCATTTGATCCTGGCAGAGTTTGAGAAGCAGTAAGAGCTGATTGTTCTTGTTGTTGTTGTATTTTGTTGTTAACTTGTGTTTCCTGACACAAGATGGGTTCATCTTGTTCTTCTTTCTTGTTTTAATTTTAATTTGACTAAGTTGTAAAACAATTTGGTTGGCTTTTGTTTTTCTGTACTACATAAATACATTTATTTTGACATTATTTCCTATGTAAAACCATCTGAGCGGTTCTATGTTGCATTATAATTACCTGTTTGAACACGATGTTCCATAGAGTTTTCATCCATCCATCCATCCATCCATTTTCTTTACCCGTTTATTCCATTTTTGGGTCACGGGGGTCGCTGGTGCCCATGTCCAGCAATCACTGTGCGAGGGGCGGGGTACACCCTGGACGGGTCGCAAGTCCATCACAGGGACACATAGAGACAAACGAGACAAACAACCATTCGCTCTCTCACTCACACCTAAGGACAATTTAGAGTTACCAATCAGCCTAACATGCATGTTTTTGGACTCCATAGAGTTTTATGAGTTAAAATTCAAGGTTTTTTATTTGTCGTTCTACCACATGTGGTACATGTGGTGGAACGAAATTATGTACACAGGGTCCCATTTACATCCAACAAAAGTATAAAATGTAAAAGAAAAACAGTAATAAGATCTAAGACGTGAACTAAGAAAAACGTTAATAAAAATACACTAGTAGCATAAAAACAATATCGAACAGCAGCAAAAAATTCTTTCTTTGCTCTGACAGGATTAGACAATTAAGCTCATTAATAAATAACTAAACAAAAATGCAACTTGAAGGGATTTGAACTGTGTTAAGATCATTTAACTTGCAGACCACAGCTCACTGAGAGGTGGCTGCATGTATCTACACACAGAGCAGGTAAATGACATTCAATCACAAAACGGTTTGGAGGTGAATGGGTGTAGCAGCACAGGGGAGCAGTGGTTAGCGCTATTGCATCACAGCAAGAAAACCGCAGGTTTGTCTCATGGCCTTTCTGTATGGAGTTTGCATGTTCTCTCCTTGCATGTATTGGTTTTCTCCAAGTATTCTGGTTTCCTCCCATAAACAAAAACATGCATGTTAGGCTGACTGGTAACTCTAAATTGTCCCCAGGTGTAGGTGACAGTGCGAATGGTTGTTTGTCTCTTTGTGTCCCTGTGATGGACTCACGACCTGTTCAGAGTGTCCCCTGCTATTTGCACAGTGACAGCTGGACAGGCACCACGACCACTGCCCACGACCTGGAAAGGAAAAAGCGTCTGAAGAAAATAAACGGATGAATGGACGTGAGTTCACTCAATCAGAGCTGACCACTCAGAACCGGATGAAAACAGCCTCTCAAAAAACCAGCGTGCTCACTAGGCTTCAAAACACGAGTTGGACAAACAAGCAGTTTGTGAACCTTTGACCAATCAGAGACCAGAATCAAGGGATTGCATTATGCAATTAGCCCATCAAAGAAAAATGATGCCTTTGAAGATAAATGTAGAGTGTAAACAAAATATGAGGGTAATTAAGCTGTTGCTCTATAAGTGTCTAATTGTTTACTTTGCTCTTTTTATGTCAAGTTATTATGTTTATGTCAGATCATACTTGACCTATCATGCACTAGCCCATCTTCTTCAACCCTTTTCATGCATTCATCTTTGTTTCTATGTTTTGTCACATTACCAACATTCATTTTAAGATCTGACCATTTTTGTTTTTTTTACTCTTTATCTTTTTACCATCACCCCTTTTTCTCCTTTTATCATTTGCTTTCCTGTTTCGACCTCCTCGCCCTTCCTTCTTGCTGTTGCTATGATATTCCGTCTCTCACGTTCAGACTTCTTCTCACCCATCTTCATTCATTTTTACCTTATTTAATAACCTTTTTTCCGATTTTGCTCCCTTCGTATCTGCTTGTTTTCCTCTTGTCATCTCAGAAACCCTCACATTTACATTTGATTACAATTCTCTCCTCTGCAGCGACTTTATCAACAGTCATTGTCTTTATTGTTCCTCTCTCCAGTTCACTCTTGTCTTTCAGTGACAGATAATGTGACAAATACAGGAACTAAATTACAGACCCAAGAAAAGGAGACAAGGACAGAAGAAAGACAGGGAATAACAGCTTCCTTTAACTAAGTGTGAAGAAGTGATTATAGTCTTTCTCTCCTCCTGTTCTCATTGAGGAGTAATATCTGGAATAACCTTCATCGCTGCACCCCTGTCTGCACTGTAGACCCCCTCCTCCTCCTCTTCCTCCTCTAACTCTTTCATTTTATCCCCTTGTTCACATTTGAAGCGGCCGTTGTAGGGATTATGGCCCCTCTCGTGGTTAACTCCGCTCTCCCTGTTTCAGATATATTATCATATTAGTGGGAAATGATGTAATACATTTCAAGACATTTGTCCTTCGTGCACCCTCTGTCCCTCTGCAGATGATGTCACAGGCTTTGTCTGGAGGCAGAGAAGTTGTCAAGCAGACATTGAGGGGGTTTTGTTGCTTGAGCTCGTTGCCATCTTGTGGTCAGAATGAGGAACTCGGCACTGAGAGGACGGAGTAAATTAGGGTGTAGGAAATTATTTATTACTGATGTAGAGGATAATGTGACTCATAACTGGCGTCCTTGGTGTGAGTGAGCTGATGTGGTCCGCTGGGTCGCAGACAGATGGAAGGAGGCAGACGCTTTGGGTATGACTTGATTATAAATGAGGGTTTGTCTGGTCTGTGGAATCTATGGCCAAAAGATAAAAGAAAAATACAAACAAACTTTATGTGCAAATAAATAAAACAATAAAAAAAGATGTCTACACGATTTTTATTTGTATATTTTTCCTATTTGTTTTTGCTTCTTATTTATTAATAAGTTCTTTTGACCGCTCTTTTCTTCAGGGGTTGCCAGCGAGCCTGAAAAATTTGGCAATTCGTTTCATTCCGGATGCCTTTTCTGATGCAACCTGGGCTCGAACCCGCAACCTCAGGACGACAAGACTGCAGAACCACCAAGTTACCACAGCTCCATCCATCCATTATCTTTTACCCACTTCTTCCTTTTCAGGTCGCAGGGGTCATTGGTGCCCATGTCCAGTTATCACTGTGCGAGAGGCGGGGGACACCCTGGACAGGTCTCCAGTCCATCAGAGACACATAGAGACAAATGAGACAACCACACCTGGGGACAATTAAGAGTTACAAATCAGACTAACATGCATGTTTTTGGTCTGTGGGAGGAAACCGGAGAAAACCCACGCATGCACGGAGAGAACGTGCAAACTCCACTCAGAAAGGTCCCGAGTTGGGATTTGAACCGGCAACCTTCTCAATAAAAGGCAACAGCTCAACTGAGCCACCGTGCTGCCCACTAACACAGTCCCTTGCTTTTTATTCATTAGTTTATGCTATTCTGGTTGTTGGTTTCTTTTTTGTTTGTTTTGTTTATATTGTTGTTATTAACAAAAATATTAGCATAAATATTCAGGATTAAAATCCCTTCATTCATTTCTCTGATTAATTGTTCTAGTCAATATGAAATGCAAAAAAAATCATAATTTCTGTAATTTTTAAATACATTTTCTCTTATGGCATGACATTCTTACTAACATCAGTCACTGACTGTTTTTAATTGAAGGCATTATCACAAAATATCATTTTTAGTTGAAATATGTAAACAAAAAATATTAAATACATTTTCTCACAAACATGATTTACAGCCACTGTCATTATGTACTGACAGAAGTACTATGTATAAATGTATCGAAAAGTACATGGAAGTACAAAACTACTACGATGGAAAAGAGATTATACACAGCAGTATGTCAAACGTTACAGAACATTTACATACAGATTATTTAAATGATGGCTTAAGTGAAATGTTATGAACAAACAGATAATATGACTTTATTTATTTATTTATAAGTTTATTCATTTTTTTAAAAACAAAACAATTCAATATACAATAAGAAATACAATCACAAATAAAATGAAAGGCAGCAGAAAGAAGAAACGAACTTATAATATCTGCCCCTTTATAAATAAGATACAGAGTTTACACCTTTAAATAATTGAGTTGGTTTTCTGTGAACATTTTTAAAAACAAGTTAAAACCCAAAAAGGAAAAAGCAGGTAAAGATGATGGATGGATGGATGGATGGATGGATGGATGGATGGATGGATGGAT